CAATTCATTTTATTGTTCCTGTGGTTAAAAATAGTTCATGATTAAATGATAAATTATATTTTCATCTATAACTATAACCCTAGGCTTGTTTGAACAAATTCAGAATGGATTAAAATGTCCAATCAAGCAATCAAGGAACAACCAACATCTAGATACATCAAAATGATAAATATTCCAAGGATAACAAAAAATATTTAAAAATTACAGAGATTAAAAGACTTATCTACAAAGGAAAGACAATGGAATGAACTTCAGGCTTCTTATCAGTATTACTGGGTTCTAGAAAAGAATGGTTGTTTTAAAAGTTTAGAGGAAACATACATGATATCTAAAAATACATTGAATAATAATTACAGATCTTAGATATTGTTTTCTTTCAATTTTTTGGATTAAGCAATTGACAAGACAGTAGATTTAATTACAGGTAGAGAACAGGATATTGTTGTTATGAATACAAATTGTGTAGTAGAGGTGGAGTGAGGAAGAAAGAAGGTATTATAGGAGCATTGGACACCCCAACTTTCAAACTGAGAATTTAACATTTTTGTAAGTTGGTTAATCAAGAAAGGGAGAAATATAGATTGTTTTTTAAGGATATAATTGTAACTGCCAGAAAAAATAAAAATGGGAGGTACTGTGAATAATTCCTCTGGGGACTGGAATGTGCTCTATTATAGTGCATGATTTTCTTCCCATGAGTTACATTATGTACCTACACACACACATACATACATGTACATGTGTATGTATAAGAGTGATGTCTGAATAGGATCAAAATGGAGCTAAGGTAAGAATGAACTTCAGTGAATTCAAAAGGCAGTGGCTTTTGAGACCAACTGGCAGCTTTAGTGGCCTCTGGATGCAGATGTGACTTTGGGTTGCATCACTTGGGAGCCATGGGTGGGCCATGGCGTCTCTGGCATTATAGGATGTGTGCATGTCACCCCAGGGCTAAATGCTACTAGATGTGTCAGTCAATGCGCCTGCCATAGCCCCTTCCTCCCCCTGCCCAACCTGCCCTGCCCAGAAGCCCATGTTGAAGAATGAAGACAGTAACACTAAATTGGTCTTTACTTGGGAATGGCCAATGACCACTCTGCTGTCAGTGGTCCATGATGTCACCTGGTACCTAGAGTTGAAGAGATTCAATTGAATACCTTTCCTCGGGAATTTGAACTTGAGATTATGAAAAGGTTTGGCTGAAAGCTGACAGTGGCAGAGTTGCTGTGAAAGGTCCTCAAACTGCAACCAGGAGTCCCCAGCTGTCCTCTAGCTCCAGTTATCCACAGCCCCGCCCTGTTACACCTCCTGTGGTTGATTTCCACAGGATTCCACCTCCCTTGTTGGGCCAGGTGCACACTTTCAATAACCACTCCTTTCACTTGAGCTAGCTTGAGAAAGACTTTTTGTGCAACCAAAGTTGTTCTAATTGAAGAGAATCCTGAAAACTGTGTTCCAGTTGCATTCAGAATGGAAGAGGGGCCTGGTGATTGCTGTCCCCTTGGACAATGGGATGAGCTAGTTCTGCTTTAGTGTAATCCCAGCCTTTACCACAGGAACCTGGTGCATGAGGCTGAGATTGCTTCTTCGAATAAAAAAGTAAAAAATAATTCCTTAAATAATTCTTTATTTTTAAAGAGTAGATTTTAAAAAATTGCTTAATTCCTTTTCTCTTTACTTTTCTTATCTTTTTTCTTTTCTTTTTTAAAAAAAGATTATTGGCCTATTTGATTGGAGGTTCCAAGATATGTTTCAAAGCCTTCAATCTTCTAAAATGGGCTGAGAAGAAAATTAATAAATAACCTTAACGTTCTCTTTAATGACAGTTTTGTTTTTCAGATCCAGAGACAACAGAACCTATACTGAATCTAAACCTTCAAAATAAGGAAGAGCAAAGATGTGTGGAAGATGTCAGACTGACCCTTCTCCTGGAGGCCCCTCCTGAGACTGAGAAAGAGAAAAGCTACCCCTGACAGCAGGCAACTGGTCTGGTACCACCAACCTGGCATTGGTATCCTCCTGTTGAACAAAAAAATTTTCAGAACAGCAACAGCAAACAAGGCCACTCTGTGAGTGTGATGGGTCAAGACAAGAAGAGGACCACTCTCCAATATGTCTAAACACAGACAAAACATGACTATCGTCTAAATCACAAACATGAAGAAACATTCCTCTACCTAATAAACTTTATTAAGACACCCAATCATAGAATTAGCAGTTTCTGATATCCAGTTAGAATAAAGCCCCACTTCTTTAAGCCCACCCCCAAACCACCTAACACCAGCCCAAATCCTTTCTAATAAGTCCTTGCTAAGCTTTCTAGCACCTTCTTACTGAGATGCCCCATGGTTCTCCAAGGAGTGTGTTCTTCAATGAAAGAGTAATAACCCAACTTGTTCAGCCACAGATGTGTTCCTAGTGGTGCTCAGCTGGAGGGTTTTGACTGGCTTTAGGAAAGCCATGTTTTTCTGCTCCATTCCTATTATTCTCTCACGTAATCAAAGAGCAGCTCCCCTGGGCTAGTTTTTTGGTCCAGGCAATCATCACCATTTACCAAGGACTTATTACCTGCCACATGCTTTATATGGACTAACTCATTTAATCCCCACAATGGCCCTATGAATCCAAAGGCTTAGTACCCCATTTACAGATGAGGAAATTGAGGCGCACAGGTTATAACACTACTAAGTGGCTGAGCCAAGAGTCCAAGGCAGCCAGTTGGCGGGGTGTTACGGCTCTGAAGTCCACACCGTGAGGCCTCCTGCTGAGCTGGTGGTCTACAGCGTGTGGTCACAGGTCACTGTGCCGTCAGCCTACATTGAAGGGCAGTTTAATAAGCAGCCCCAGGAAATCACTGCTGGGTTTCCTGTAAGATATGAGAGAATGAAGATGCACAGAAAAAAAAAATTTCTCCCTACTCACAATACCCGAAATAAATGGCTTCTTTTAGGCAGCTGGATTTTTTTCCCCATTAGAAGACATTAATCATCTAATTCAGAGTTTTCAAACTAATTCTAAGAAAGGTGTGGTATGATTTTAAGTTGAATAAACCTAACCAAGGGAGGTTTTCCTTTGCATTTTTCTTTCAATTTTACCAATGTGGTCCAAAAAGCATTGGGACTTGGTAGTAATATGAGTAGCTTTCCTTTGTCTCTCCAGAAAGAGGGATACTGAGGCACAGAGCCTTGGAAAGCAATAATTAATAGCCAGGGAGATTTCAGTAACTTAGTTTCACCTTATTTGTTTTTGTAATTACCTTCCATCTATAGCCTATACATTGATTTTCCATATACACGTGGTGCAAAGTTTCCTTTTAAAAAGGCTTCAGTAAAAATTCGAGTTTGTTTAAAGGAAAATGTTATATAAATAGTGGTACAGGTGGTAGGAGACCAAACAGAGACAAGGAAATCATTAAAGTATTTCAGGAAACCCTGACTTCAGTTTCCTCTTTGCCCTGGATGCTGGACAGACCAGAGTTTGATTTATAGGTCACTGACCTCAAGGTACAGCTCCCAGCTCCAGGGACTTCTCCTCCAGCTCTAACTCCCAGCTCTACCTTCTATCTCCTTCCTCAATTTCCCCTCTGCCTTCTTGTCTTGCTACTACTATGTGCTTTCAGAAAAAAAAAGGTGGGGGTGGGGGTGGGGGTGACTATTTCGTTTCCCTTAGTAACACTGTGTCCAAAGAGCAGAAGTGGCCCGGGTTACCCATTTAGCAGCCACAAAGAGCTCTTGGAAAGCCTGGTGCATCCGGTTTCCTCTCGTCCTTGAAAGTTTCAGTTCTTCACACTGGGCAGAAACCGCGTTTCTAAAACTGCTGGGACAGCAGATTCTTCTGCTCTCTAGTCCCGGCTGAGAGTCACCGCGACAGCCTGTTCCTGTTGGGAGCCGCGAGTGAATTCAAGGCCATCGGCCAGAAAAGCAAGGAGGAGACGACCCAGATGCGCCCCCCTCCCCTTTTCTGGCTCTGCAGCACCTTGACCTCCAGCCCACCTCCCGTCTCTTTCCAATCGCTCGAAGTAAGGACGCTCTTGGGGACCCCAAGGAGGCCTGAGG